GAATCTTTACAAGGCATTAAATTTTCATACTATGCCCTCACGTAAGTCTCCATTGAAAGAAAGTTCCTGAGCATTAGGCCATATTTATATTCTTGTTATTAGACTGGAACTAGTTTTCAATAGAGGCTCATGCGTGAAATATGATTTTAAAAGAGACATATCGAGAGCCTGATGTTTTTAATTACCATTCTGCCATGTTTTACAACAATCAGTTGGTGGCAATATTGAATGTTAGAAACATCTGAGTTATGCTAGTTTTAACAATGGTAAATAATGAGTGGAATTTTCAGAACCGAGATTTCAGCCATGCCTCCTGTGTATGGACATTAGGCACCTGTAAGCTAAGAGATGATGTTGCGGAAATATAACTTCCCTAAATGTTTCCTCATTTGCATTCACACAACATTATTTTGCAGAAGCAAATTTTGTTTCTAAGAAGTAGAAAAATGTTTTTGAATTATTTCTGAAACATTTGTCTTCTGCAGCAACTCTTTCACAGTTTGCATGCCAGGAAAACTATTTTGAGAAACAGTGTTTCAGCAAGCAACAATACTTTGTTGCCTGCAGAGGCTTTTAATGCATAGTCACTTGAGCTCCTAGTTTTAGTTTGAGCGCACACAATGTTTCTATCAATGGGAATGAAGAATTCCCTTCAACATTTTCACAAAGGGTTTTCTTAAATATCTCACGTCGGTTGTTGTACCCTCTAATGCATCATCCAAGTCTTGCATTAGATCTTCATCCATGGGCTGAAATTCCAATCCACCGAAAAACACTTTCTCATGCTGTTCCGAGTCGTAGTTCTTTTCCAGCAAGTTTATGCCAGGCACAAAGAAGGATGGCAACTTTTCCTGTTGAAGACAGTTTTCAAGGAAATCATAGATGTGTCTTGCCCAAATAACAACTTGGTCTTCAGATGTGTTTTGTATATCCAGGTCAATTTCTTTCAGACAGGATTTATTCACCAATATGAATAGTGCATTTTTTAAAAAGTAACTGGATATAACTTTCTCTGCTGCGACGACATTATCCTCTGGCCATGTAAAATCTGTTTCCATGTCTGTTGGTTCCTCACTGTCACAGTCATGGACCTTCTCAGAAGCACTTGGATTTTCCAACACTGTGTTACTTGGTACAATTTGCGAACACACATAAGGACTTCTCACTGCCTTTGCAAGAATGTATCCCTGGCGAACATGCCCAGGAAGGGACTGGAAGAGTTCAGTTTCAGCCAGAGAGAAGGAAAGACGAAAGTGCTTTTCTCCACTTTTAAAGAACCTTTCTCCGTGCAAGGCCATGACAACATGAACTCCTTTGCTCTTCACCTGGGAGTTAAACAGTGCTGCTTCAGAGACATTTGAGGGCCAAAAGCAGGGAAAGTGCAATGCTGGGACAATATCTACATTAATCACCATGTCCTTGTAAACATGTCCATGCCATTTGAGTGTAATCTTTGTTGCATTAGCTGCCATTAAGCAAACACTTACAGGGACTAGTGTCAAGATATCTTCCCAAATTTCCCTTTCCAGAAAGGCTCTGGTAAGTTGATCACTGAAGTCATTAATCAGTTTCGAACTTCGCAAACTGTTATCTTTGTCCATATATTGCAAAAGTTTGTGATCTGGGAGGCAAAAATCAGGTTTTAAATGTAACTGGCAAAACATGGGTGGACTGGAAGCCACATTTGGCTCTTGAAAACACTCGCAAAGTTTCACCATTGTACACATGAAGTCAAACTCCTCGGGAAATCCACATTTGGTCCCTTCGCTCACACTGCCTGAAATTTCAGGCTTAAATGTAAACAGAGGGAAGGCTTTGGAAACTTTTCCTGCCACTCGCTCAATAACTTTGCTTACGGCCAACTTGACCTCAGATGCCTCTGCAATTTCAGGTAGTTTGCCAATCACAGGTGACTTCAGTAGCTTCTGAAGTGATCTGTTGGGGTCACTGTTTAAGCAGAAGTCTTCAGATTGCATGTTTTCAACCTCTTCTTGCATCTTGACATGATCACATTCATCGTTTAATGGAAAAACATTAGGTAGGCTTTCTAGTTCAAGATCTCTATTCACCGACTGAAAATAGTTCTGGAAGAGATTAATTAGCTGTACATATCCAAAGTATCTGGCCAATTGAAGTGGTGTTCTGCCAGAGTGATCTGGTTTTGCAGCCAAGCAAGAGTCGCACTTAGTCAATAAACATTTTAATGCTGCTTGATTATTGCTGAAAACAGTGTAGTGAAATACAGTTGCACCACTGTTGTCCTCGCGGTCAACAAGACAGTTGTCATTCTCAATTATTTCCTCTAAATTTGATGTATTTTTCAAAGAACAAGCCAAATGTAAGGGGGCAACTCCATTTCTGTCCTTGATGTTTACATCAGCACCATGGCTTATGATCAACTGCAGGAGAGACCTTTGTCGTAATTCAGCCACAAGGTAATGTAAGAGTGCCCGTCCGAAAAAGTCTTGACTGTTAACGTCGTAGCCTTCGTTTACGAATAGTTTCACGAATTGTGAATGTCTTGATTTCTCTGCATTGTCCCGATCCAAGGGAGAACAGTGTAAGAACCACAACATATGCAAAGGTGTCATTCCAAGAGAATCCTTGCTGTTCACCGAGATTCCAGCTTCTATCAGAAACTGAACAGTTTCTATGTTAGCACCCGATTCAATCGCTTTGTGAAGAAGGTTTTCACCTCTTGAAGATAGTGCTGCACATAAGTCGACGCCGAGGTCGACCAGAACTTGCAACACCTCGATCGCCTCAAGTTGAAACAGTTCAACATTGTTTAGCAACTCGTAAGTGCCATTTAGCATGCGATCAGACTTCTGTAGGGAAAATCCCCAGTCTATGAATGTCTGGCATGCCTTTGTGTTGGCATGGTCTAACGCATGTTGAAATGGTAGTCTGCCAAGACCATCTCTGCAGAACATATCTGCTCCGTGATCCAGAAGAAGTTGGACCATTTTGTACGCCTCCTCGTCGTAATAGTTGACACAATGAAGTGGCGTACTTCCATAGTCATCTCTGCTGTTGGGGTCTTCTCCACCTTTTAAGCAGTTTTCTACAATTTCAAGACTACTATTTAACGTTACTTCGCAGTGTAGTGGATAATCCATTCTTCGAGCCTAACACGATATCACGAAGAGAAGGCTTCCTTGTTTCCAGGGATTTCTCGGTATGTTGCCTAGCTTCCGGGTACAAGAAACTGCGTGGGAAGCGGGAGAGGGGAGGGGAGGGGGCAGCGCGGTGTTGGGGAAGTGCACTTTGGAGCGTATCACCGTTGAAATAGAGCCATTTTTAGTTTATCTGTGACTAAAAGTAGAGAAGCGTATAGGCCTGAAACTTCTTGTAAGAAGGGAACCTCTCTTCACATCAAAAATGTGTGAATAAAACCGCTCTGTAATCATAAAGTTTGAGATTTTGTTATGGCTTTCCGGGTGCGAAAACTTTTCAGGAGAAACGGGCCCCAGGACATCTAAACTTAGAACCCACGTTTGCACTAGAAAGAAAAAAAAAATTGCAAAATGGTGTATCGGCTAATTTTACAATAATTCTGCGAAATCGCAGAATGTTATCTTGTTCGGAGAGCCAGCAACTAAAATCAATCAATCACATTGCTCCATTGCCGGTCCAAAGGAGCAATCTGATTCCTTTTCTTTTCGTTC